CACAATCCTCCATTGTGCTTTCTTTCACAGGTGTCCTGAAATCCTCCTGGTGGAGCCAGATCTCCTCCCTCCAGGTCTTTTCTTTATCAATACACTTAGATCTCAAGGCAGTCCTTTCTGTAAATTTTTATGCAGAAACCCTAACAATTCTAATATGTTTTTAATGGGCAGCCCATGGTGGCAACTATTAGACTTTTTTGCTTTAGTTCTACATTTAGCACTTTTAGGGAACTAAGATATTATTTGGTACTATCTGTCTCAGCAACTTAGTAACATGAATGTCATGGTCACTTTTATCATAACTTCAAAACCTCAATAGCCTCCTTTGTAAAGGTGCAGATTGAGTTTCAGGGATGGGAGCTCTGTTTTTCTGAGCGACACAGTTTTTAGCATAAATTTCACCTTAATTGTTTGTTTTCTTTTCATATGACAGCTTGCTGGTTTTAGTATTTGCTGGTTCCAAAAAGGGAAGACATAATTTCACATTTAAGTTTCACAGATGTGAGTATTTATTTTGACAATTATAAGAAATGCCAAAGATAAGAAGAGTTACCTCTCTGTTTTACTGCCACAGAGTGGTGATGATTTATTTTCACAAAGACAAGAAAAGACAGAAAAGAAAACTGCAGCTGCAACATCTTTGCTAGAAGTTGGACAAGAGTGTTATTTGCTAAAGAGTACATGCCAGGAATAAAAATTAAGGTTTGTGTAATATTTGCCATGAAGTTCTAACCAGTCTCTGTAAAATATTCTAAACGTTTTGACAATGTATTCCCCCAAGGCAGAAGAAACATATACCTCTACTTTTATTTATTGTTCCCAACAGCAGGTCCTCACCAGTCTTATATTGGTTTCCAAGAAATGAAGAAGAAAACAAAAGGAGATTAAAAAAAAAATAATCCAGCAGATAAATGAAAACAACAGTTTACTAAATTAGACTGGCTCAGGCAAAGAAGGACAAAAAAGGGAATACCTGTTTACTTACTACGTGGCATACTGGTGTTACCTTCCTGCCATGCATCCAAAATTGAATTGTTTAAGAAGGGGAATGTAGCAGCACCTTTAAGCTTTTATTCTCAGATAAGCACGGCTGTGATTTTCTAGAGGTGGCTGCGTGGGGCAAAGAGTTACCATGCTGGGCTGTCAACACTTTGTCTTCCAGTGGTGAAGTTGTTGCGCTCTACTCCTTAACCCCTTTCAGTCAGGGTGCTCTAAGTGAGCAAAGACCTGCTGTGTCAACAGATTCTGCAAGCATGAAGTCCTCCAGAGAGGGAAGAAGGTCCAGGATTTAGTGCAAGTTCTTTCAACACAAACACTTTGATAGTCTGGCCTCGCTAAATCAACATGTGCTGAGGAAATTGTATTTCCTTAGCTAGCTCTGATGATGTCTATCTGACCTCACCTCATTAACACAGAGGCAAAGAATTGATACCAATACCCACTCTTATATTATACACTTAGTATGAATCACAGATGCAGAAGATGTTACATGATTAACACTGTTTCTGGAGGAGGAAAAATCAAACAGAGAATTACTTTTGAAGAGAAGAAAAAAATCAAAGAAAAAGGTTTTGTTGCCTTTTTTAAAAAAAAAAAACTGGAACATTTCTATATAACAAAAATGAACTATCAAAGATGAGATGCAAATAAAGTACATTGTCAGGTGTGAACAAAATAGTTTAACTTCAGTAAGTGCATGAAGAATGAGAGATGAGGGCCTTAGCACAGCATCAGAGATATACAGAAATATGAAGAGGCTTTTACACATAGAGAGCCTAAATTACTCAAGGGACAGGATGTTACTAAGCTCAGCCGGAAAACTGATTTGATGGTATTTATTGAAGCCTAATGGCAGGTGAAAAGGTAGTATCTGAGGGGGGCGGGGGGGAGAACAAATGTCAACTTGTTATTCTTGATGCCCAATCAGCCACTTGTTTCATTTGTGTATGCTGTCTGGAATTTGTTAGAATTTGTAGATAGGGTCACTGAAGACAAAAGTACACTTAGAAGGATCAACTCCTACCTTCATGAATCACTATTTTAAATATTATACATAGAATAGCTGTAGTCTCATGGAGTGGTGGATATTCTGCTTTCCCAAATACTGGGGATGTGAAGCCTCTAAAGCCACCAAGGAAAGCACCCCATCAGATTCAGCCCAGTCCTAGAAACTGTCATGTTTTTCTAGGTGTGTCCTAGTGAAAAGCTTTCCAGGAAAAGATTTTACAGAGGTATCAGCTGCTTCATCTTGCCAAGGTCTCAAGTTTTCTCTGTGATAGTATGTAAACCCCTTTCTATATGGTACATAAATTGACTTAAATTGGTTTGTCTTCAAAGATAAGATTATGAGATTCAATACAAAGAATAAGACCTTTGAGAAGGAAAAAAAACCCAGCTGATTAACTTCTAATGAACTGTATGGGAATTTCATATACAGAACAGGTTAAGTCCTCCTTTCAGGTTGGAATGGGTAAGAGTAACATGCAAATAATCCTGCGTATGATCCACTGAGTACACTTAGAGAGTCACGTTCTAGAAATGTATTGAAAAGCTGTCAAGAAGAATGACTGATTTAATGAACTGTGTCAACACATTTGCAGGAAGCACCAGATTATAATTTGCTCTGCCTTAGTGACATTTTAAGCAACAGAAAAATTGTTTTTACAGTGAGTATTGAACTGTACGATGTTATCAGCTTTTATGATATGAATCTATTTTGAACAAAATTTACCCAGTTCCTATCTCCTTAGCTGTTCTTCAGACACTATTTTTTAAAAAAATGTATTCACACGAGGAAATATTCTCCTTTCTCCACATTTTGCCTTAATGCTTTAACTTATTTGGATGTACCCTTACCATTTCTAATTATCTTTTTCTTCCTAATATTTACTTGCTGGGAGGAGGAACAAGGGACTTGCAGGTATAAGTCACCTGAAGCTCAAGGCTCATGAACACATGGTGGTTAAACCATGTGAGGCAACTAACAAAGTGTAGGAAAACACTTTCAGCTTGATAATGGTCAAAGAGCTACCCAGCTAGATCTCATCCTTACTATGTGAAACATGCTTATTTTATTATCTTAGACAAATCAGGATGTGGAGGTGGAAGGGAAAGCAAGCAATTGAACTCCCAAACCCTGCTCACTGCCTGCTGCATTTCTGACTGCAGGGGACTCTGCCTGTGCTCAGGTTGTGCCTGGCACATCTGACCCCTAGCCCTCAGTCCCGTGCATGTTCATAGGGGAGCTGGGCCAATGCAGAGTGACGTATGATGGAAAGCCTGCTTTCAAGAAGAGGTGATGCTGACAGAACGGAAGATTTCATTAAAAACAAGAAATTCCATGAGCCAAGTATGGAAGCCTCAACTGTGATGGATTAATGCTTCAGTAGTGTTTGTGTCAGATGAGGTTTTTTCCTATAGCTGGGTACTTCCTAGATCTTTCTTCAACGCAGATTTTTATGTCTGTATGATGTGAACTCATACTGCAGCCTCTCTTACCGCCAGGCCACACACAGAGTTCTTCGTCTGTCTGGTCCATACTCGCTGTAGTATTGCTACCTGCAAGACCTCCCCTTATTCATGTATCACTGACACTGACCAATGGTTACAGATCCATCTGGGTTCAACGGTCCTCCTTTCTTTTCCTTTCTTTCTGTTTCTTGTTGGAAATACAAGGGGAAACTCAGGAGCAGGTGTTTCCTGTTTTTAATCCTCACTGTCTAGCATGTTGCTATACCAAGAGGTGTAATCTGCTGCTGGCATCCCATGAGTGACTGACAATTCCAACAGTTTTCACCTGACTTGGACACAAGAATATGACTTAAAGAACGAGGAAAGCTAGTGGGTCCCAGAAATGGGCTAGTATCCAAGAGTTCAAGGAATCTGCAGGAAAAGCAGGTAATTCGAAGCAACGGGACTGTGTTGTTGGTTTTAACTTTACTGAAAGGATTACACATGGAACAGTGAATAAATTGAAAATGCTATATAAATATTAATAAAAGAGAAAATACAGGTAACGGGGTTGACATTAATTTAGTAGGAAGGAGAATCTGTAAGCTTGAAGATACAAAGAAATACTTCCGAGATGGCCGTGGTGTTGGGGGTAGATCTTAGAAGGTCGGCCACTATTAACGCTCCGAGCAGCAGCCAGGGTCCGACCGGACCCGAGCCTTCAGTGCGCACATTTCCAGAGTAGACCCAGGGGCACCTCCGAACCAGCCGATGGAGATGCGGGGCTGCAGGGAGCAAGCACGCCGGGAGGCCGCCACCGGGCCCCCGCCGTGGCGGCTCAGCCTGCGGCCGCTTCTGCTCCGGGCGCGGCCACCCGCCCGCAGCTTCTCGGGTGCCACCTGTAT